AGAGCTCAAGAAGAAGCTTTAGAGAAAAATAACCGAAACGAAGAGCGTTTGGGCAGAACGTTGGTGTTCGGTACGAACAATCAAGGTTTAAAGGTATTCCAAGATAGGATTTGGGTACCTAAGACGGGAGGAATAATAGATCTTCTAATGGAAGAATCGCACAAGACCATGTACTCGATTCATCCCGGTAGCACACTAAAATGTATAGGGACCTAAAGCCCTACTACTGGTGGCCGACGATGAAGCTCGATGTTGCGAAGTATGTGGCCGAGTGTGTAACATGTGCGAGAGTTAAGTCACAGCATCAGAAACTGTATGGGAGTTTAGAACCTTTACCTATACCCATGGGTAAATGGGAAGACATCACCATGGATTTTGTCACTAAACTGCCCAGAACGAAGGACGGTCACGACATGATTTGGGTAGTCGTTGACCGGTTCACTAAGAGTGCACACTTCATAGCAGCTAATGAAAGATGGTCTATGGATAAGCTTGTCAATGCTTATGTGAAGGAGGTGGTAAGACTTCACTGTGTTCCTTTAACGATTATATCAGATCGTGATAGTCGTTTCACTTCAAGGTTTTGGAGGAGTCTACAAGAGGAACTGGGTACAAAATTATGTTTAAGTACAGCTTATCATCCGCAAACTGATGGTCAGAGCGAAAGAACGATTCAAACGTTGGAGGATATGCTAAGAGCATGTAACCTAGAGTTTCAAGGTAACTGGGATGAACACTTACCTCTGGTAGAATTTTCCTACAACAACAATTACCATTCGAGCATCAAGATGGCACCTTATCAAGCCTTATATTGACAAAAGTGTCGTACGCCGTCTTGTTGGCTTGAAGCCGGAGAAAAGCAGTTTATGGACCCCGAGATAGTCCATCAGACTGCTAAAAAGTTGAAAGTGATTAGGGAAAGAATGTTAGCAGCTCCGGATCGTCAAAAGAGCTATGCTGATAAGAAGAGGCGACCGATGACATTCAAAGTTGGGGATTCAGTTTTGCTCAAAGTCTCACCATGGAAGGGACTTATAAGATTTAGGAAACGAGGAAAGTTGAGTCCACGGTTTATTGGACCGTTCAAAGTTCTTCAAAGGATTGGGAACCAAGCTTACAAGCTCAAATTACTCGAAGAACTAGATGGTATTCATAACACATTCCATGTGTGTTATTTGAGGAAGTTCACGGGAGAAGTTCCCGATAGAATTCCAATTTTAGAGTTAAGGATGGATGAGAATAAGAGGCTAATCGAAGAGCCCGAGGCGAGTGTTGACCGTAAGACGAAGAAGTTGCGACGCAAGATGGTCGACTTAGTGCTTCTGTGATGGAAACATTCGAATGGGCCAAATATCACCTGGGAAACGGAGAGTGATATGAGGAGTCGCTATCCGCATCTGTTTGTTGATGCATGATTTCGAGACGGAATCATCCTAAGGGGGAGAGAATTGTAACGCCCTTGTTTCTGGGCTAAGCATTAGTAGATGATGTAATAGTCTAGGTCAACCATTGTAAATCATTTTAAAGTAATAAAAAGGAATTTCTTGAATATTATGTGAATTATGTGCTTTTGTGTGCTTATTACTTGTTTAGAATAATATAATAAATAAAGGATAAAATAAGCGTCAAAAATAAAATATTAGATAAGCCCGATATCGATAAAGAAAGTTGTAGTGGTCGTGACAAGGATTCCGGACATATAAAGAACGCCGAAATCAGAGTTATAACGAAGAAGTTATGGCATGTCGAAGTTTCGCAACAGAACCGGCACGACACTGCGTGACATAAATAGTGAATTTACGATAGAGGACTTTTTAGCCCTAACAATCTAAACGAAATTCGTAGTGTTCATTAAACCGAGAGCGTGCGTAAAAAGAACGCCCAAATCTGACTTCATATGAGGAAGTTATGATTTTTCTAAGTTTCGAATCAGCAGTGCACAGCCCGAAGTTCGAATTGTAGATCGAACGATTGTTGGCCGACACAACCCACACGAGAATCGAATATCTCGTTAATAGTAGCGCAACGGTAAAAATACAGACGAAAACGGACGTCGGGTGAAGAAGTTATGGGTTTTTGACGGACTAATCTGGTTCCGGTCTGTTAAAGAATATAAATTTAAAATCGGTCGAGAATTAACCGACAGAGTCTAAACGAAAGTTGTAGAGTACGGTCCCGCCTACGCGTGGATATAAAGAACATTGAAAACGGAGCTCGTATGCGAAAGATACGAATTTTTGAAGTCGGAAGTGCAAATCACGAAGCTGTGCAAGGAGGGTACGCCCAACGTAGCTTCGGACGCCAAGAGTACCGAAGTACGCCCTGCGTACGAGGTAACTATGCGCAGCGTACAGCTGTCTTCCATGGTCCGAAACCGAGCCACGACACACCATCCGGAGTTCGCCACGTGTCGCCCTTATCCGATCTACGCCCCGCGTCCAAGGATCTACGCCCAGCGTAATCCGAGGGTCAGCCCTATAAAAAGGGGTGCGAGGGTGCTCGGAAAATTCACACCAAAACCTCTCCTATCTCTCACTAGTTTCTCTCTCTACCATCCCTAACCCCCCCCCCCCCCCCTAAGCCTAGGTAAACCCCCTAGCACCCGAAGGAAGCCCCGGAGAGCCCGAAGGCGCCAAGAAAAAGAGTTTTTTGGTTTGAAACTCTGCCCGCACGGAGCCCGGTTTTTAAAGCAAACTTCCCGGTTTCGTCAAAGAAGATTATTTTAGAAGCGAGGTGCTGTCCGAATCACACCGTATCAGGTGAGTGTATAGTCACTTTCATCTTACACATAGATATGAAGTATTTTATATAAATTATGTGCTATGTGTAAATATATGTTATCTGTTTACCTGAGATGTTTGCTGGATGAAAAATCTATACTTCTTTCTTTCAGATCTGAAACTTTTTCCTTCTGATCTACACTTTCAGATCTGAAACTCTTTCTTTCAGATCTGAAACTTTTTCCTTCTGATCTGAAACTTTTATGGCTGAGGAATCCCCTTAGCAGTAGTGTCCATCCCGATGAAATTCCTTAGGATAGGTCCCTTATGATAGATGCTTTAGGGAACAACCAAAACGAAATGACGGAGTGTCGGAAGAAGGGAATAACAGCCGCACTGTCAATCAAGTGGAACCCCTAGTGGTAAGAAGAAATGACCCGGAGAGGGAAATCGACCGAGATGGACGTATGTATAAGAACTTCTTGTGGACGTTTACTCACTCACAAACAATTAAACGGTGGGCATAAAATACTTATAATGATGTGTTTTTTGTCATATAGAGTGATAAACTTTTACTTACAGTGACCGTTTATAAATATTATCGCTGCCATTGTTGACTTTTGGAGACACAAACATCATTGTTTTTTTATTTCTAATAGGTGTAAGAAAATTGTTTTGAGTTGGCTTGATTGGTTAAAAAACCTAGCTCTTGCTTGTTCTATTTTGTGATGTTTTCTTACTAGCCTCTTGCTAGTTTCTAAATAATATATGTCGTTCCAAAAAAAACACATCAATAATAAAGTTTGATCGGTTGTTCATATATAACCTCAAAAAAAATCATGAATAGCTAAGCAGGCGAAAACAAACACCAAATCGTAAGATCAAATCTGAAAATTAAAAACAAACACTAAATCTTAAAAAGAACTTGCTTGACGGGAACAAACATATTTTGAAATGAGTAAAGAGAAGAGTGAGCTTCCTTGACAATCATCAAAAGTCGTTTATGAGAGAGAGAGAGAGAGAGAGAGAGAGAGAGAGAGAGAGAGAGAGAGAGAGATTTCTTTGAGAACACATGATATGACATTACTTTCAGATTTTTCAATGGTGTCATGAAAACATCAATCATAAAAAATTCAATCCTGACAATACAATAGGAGGTTCAAAACTTCATTAATTATTGGTAGTAAAAATCATATACGAAATCAACACAAGAAATTAAAGAAACCGTAGCCAAAAACTAAAATGTCTTGATTTAATTGATTCACGGCAGTATGCTCACATCTTATATTTCTTCCAAATGTTCATCAGTATTTCATATAAAACAGACAAATGCCAAAAACCCCAAAATAATATCCAGGGAAGCAATAAAAAATTAAGGTAAAAATCGTACATACTATCAATACAAATCAAAATGAAAAAAGGGGTAATCGAAGAGCTAACCACCAATCTTTGTCGGTGGAGGCTTCAAAAAAACATATAATTTTAGCAACAATCAATCGGTTAAAAGAAGAGTTTGAGTTTTATTATCATAAATAGATAGGCGGACTTTTAATTTTTAAATAGATTGTCAGGATTGTTGATTTGTAGGATTTAATATGCTAATTTTTTTGGGATAGATACAACCAATTTGAATTTACTCTAATAAATAAATAAATAAATAATCGTCTGTCACACTCTCATTTAATTAGTTACATGTTACTTTATGGTTTTTCTAAATATATATTTATTTTTCACATGCAATTTTATGTTTTTTGTTTTCATTTTATTAAATTTCACTTAGTATTTAAATGTAATAATAAATATATATTGATTTTATTAATACAATTTTCATTCTAATTTCAAAATTCCTAAATTAAACCCCAATAATTTTTGCTTACTTATTTAAATTATTTGTTTAAATTTAAAGGATAAATGAGCATTTCAATTTCAATAATTCAATATTTTTTTTATTTTCTTATAAATTCAAACTCCTAAATATTTAGAATTTCGTATTTAATTTTTTCTAATAAATATGTATAGTACACATGTCTTGCATTATAGAACAAAAACATGTCGTGGCAGATGTTGCATTATAAGATTTTTTTTATTATTTAAATAGATAGATTACATAACAAGTTCCCCTTTTAACTAACTTTCCAATTTTAACAATTTAACCCGTTAAAATATAAATATACTTACATATCTGTTGGTAAGACTATAAAACTATTATTAGAATATATATATATATATATATATATATATATATATATATATATAATAAGAAATTTATATATATAAATATAAATAATCCAATATACAAAACCAAATGCATAAAAAGGTCATATATATTCTCTTATGAAGACTCCTCTAAAGCAATAGCCATGTCAATGGTCTCATTACCTCTTTGTATCTTTAAGAGAACCTCATCTCCCACACTGTAATCATCTAATGCTTTTAAAAATTCTGCTTTATTCCTCACCTGAATACATCAAAAATACAATTCATAAAATTGTTTCCCCCATTTAATTATTTTTGAATCTTTACCCGTTTAATCCACTATTTATAAAATATAGGGAAATTATTAAAAAAAACATTAATATTGAGCACTTTGCTTTAACATTTGGCCAAATTCTATATAAACCATTGTCGTTCGAAAAAAATTTCAGTTTAACCAATCAAATAATTTTTATCTGATGTAACAACTAAAATTTTTTATTTTTTTCTTAAAAAAACCACTATTTAAAATTTTGAACTCAGTAAAAACCAGTATAGTTGGACTTTGTTCGGTGTAACTACCCGATGAATTTATTTTATGATTGAACCATAAAAAGTTTTAATTCTAATTTTTTTTAAATAAAAACTTTAGCTAGAAAAATATTCTTCTAATGTTTTTTTGCAATTCATTACCGGAAAACTTTTACAAAGGTATATATATATATATATATATATATATATATATATATATATATATATATATTCAGGTTCATTTGAGACCATTCTAATTTTGTGAGACCGTGAGACCAAATATAAAAATAATTTTAAAATGCAAAATAAATGGAAAAATCCAAAAATTCTTTTTTTAAATATTATTTTCGGAACTTGAATTAACTAAAAGATATAAAAATAAATAAAAAAAATCCCGTTTTTTTTTAAAAATACGTGAAATATTCTAATAGAATATTACACTGACATATTCTAAAAAATAATTTTAAAATGCAAAATAAATGGAAAAATCTAAAAATTCTTTTTCTAAATATTATTTTCGGAACTTGAATTAACTAAAAAAAAATAAAAAAAAATCCCATTTTTTTTTGAAAAATACGTGAAATATTCTAATAGAATATTACACTGTACATATT